ACTGTTTCAAGTTATCTAGAAGGGTGAGTGACTAACTGTGTACTGTTTTGGCAGGGTGAAAGTACAAACGTTTCCCACATTCCAACACACACACAAGAGACACCCACATCAAAGCACGCCTCCAAAACCCAAATCTCATTCTCAGTCGCATTTCCTACTAAGGAGAATTGAAACAGAGGCTAAATCAGAAAGTTCAGCCGCCCCAGAGGGTACATTTCTCCTTATTTGCTGTCTTTTTACTCAATGTCTTTAGCTTGTTTCAAGATTGGTTTGCTCTGAGTTTGGTGTATGGAACACAATAAAGGTTTTCAATGGTTGTTCCAAAGTCACTTTACTTGCCATATCACAAATGCACACTAGGGGGTAACCAGAGACGTCAGTGTACATGCGCCACTTCAGTAGCTTCACAGCATTGTCACCATTGAAATATAATCTATCTAGATTAGATTCTAGATCTAACGAGATTGTTTTTCTATGGTTGTCACTGCAAACTATTGTCCACTAGATGGTGCCTAAGACCTATACAGTCCAAATCGACCACATTAGGCTTGGAAGCTTGATGTGGACAGAATTGAAAACAAATTGACCCCTCAACCCTGCTTTTTCCTATAAGTGAACTGTAGCCAGTAGCCTGTTAAATAGCAGGGATCAAGTGCAGTTAGTGTAATATGGTTTTGTTATGTCTCATGTTGTTGAACTGCACACACGTTTAGAAGTTGTAGTAACTCTTGAAAAAACAGTAGAACCTATAGGTTGGAATGGATTGTAGTATGGATTACCTATATTACATATTGTGTGTAACCTACTGCAGCATATATTTAAACTGTATTAAAAAAAAATTGGATCCCCATTAGCCGATGCCAATGGCGACAGCTAGTCTTACTGGGGTCAGACACATAACAAAAAAGACATTACAGACAAAATACTTTACAGTTTACATACATTTAAAAACATGAACATGTAGTGTGCGTGTGTGTGCATCTATCAGTCGCACATACATGTCAGTACACACAACAAGTAGGTCACTTGGGAGAGGCATTGTGCCATGAGGTGTTGCTTTATTTGTTTTTTGAAAGCTGATATCATTTTGTATGGCTAGTTGCCTTAGTGCTGAAAGGAAGTGTTGCTCTCTTACAAAACACACTTTCATAATATTCACTATCACTTGACTTAGCCAGATTAGGCTACAGCTAGTAATAACAACAACGATAGGAGATGTGGTCTTCCACTAAACAATGATAGCCCTATGAGAACTAGTCCTGTTGATACATCAACACAAACATTTAACTCTGTGTCTCTTTTCTGGACAATGGTGTCTCTGTTTCGCTTAGTGCCGTGATCAGTGGTGTAAAGTACTTAGGTAAATGTACTTTAAAGTACTACTTAAGTCGTTTTTTGGGATATCTGTACTTTACTATTTATATTTTTGACTACTTTTACTTGACTACATTCCTAATGAAAATAATGTACTTTTTACTCCATACATTTTCCCTGACACCCAAAAGTACTCTTTACATTTTGAATGTTTAGCAGGACAGAAGATTTTTCACATTCACGCACTTATCAAGAGAACATCCCTGGTCATCCCTACTGCCTCTGATCTGGCGGACTCACTAAACACAAATGCTTCATTTGTAAATTATGTCTGAGTGTTGGAGTGTGCCCCTGGCTATCCATAAATTAAAAATTAAAAATAAATTGTGCCATCTGGTTTGCTTAATAAAAGCAATTTGAAATTATTTATATTTTTACTTTTGATACTTAAGTATATTTTAGCAATTACATTTACTTTGATACTTAAGTATATTTAAAACCAAATACTTTTAGACTTTTACTCAAGTAGTATTTTACTAGGTGACTTTCACTTTTACTTGTGGTCCTCTGTAGCTCAATTGGTAGAGCATGGTGCTTGTAACACCAGGGTAGTGGGTTCGATCCCCAGGACCACCCATACGTAAAAATTTATGCACACATGACTGTAAGTCGCTTTGGATAAAAGCGTCTGCTAAATGGCATATTATTATAATATTTTATTAAGGTATCTTTACTTTTACTCAAGTATGACAATTTAGTACTTTTTCCACCACTGGCCGTGATAACATATTCTCTTTCCTGTTTCAGCTCATACTGAAACTAATAAAAAGTATAGATTGAAAAGAGTGTCCTGTGACAATCCAGTTGTTTAGCAATGTTCAACACTGGTAAGTTTAACCATTACTATAGTACAAATGTTAGCAAAATGTGTTTGTAATAACCATCTGTGTATGAATGGGGTTAACCACTGTGCATGTTATGATGATTTTAATGGGTTAGTTGACTAATTTACCATAAAGCATTATTGTATTGAATACCATATGATAGCCTGAAAATGAAACACGCAAAAAACATTTCATAAATAAGTTATTTTATTTATTTAAATAGATTAAGAATACATTACTCAACATTTCTGTCCAACACAAGCACTTTTAAATACTGTAGAGATAATACCCATGAAATGACAACACTTTTTAAAGGAGAATCTAACCATGTCTGCTTATGGGACAAACCTTCATTAAAAAAAAATTCAACGTCTGTTGATGTAACAAATATCATATCATGTAAACAGTCTTCTGAACTTCAGAATGAAAGGTAAAACTCCCATTTACAGCGCCTTCATAGCCAAAAAATAACTAGGTAAATACCCCATATCCATTTGAAATAATATAGTTTGGTAATTAAGTCATGAGATTGGCTAATCTAAATGGTTATCAATCTAAATGCTCTATCCCTTAAAATAAATGCATGCTGCAATACACAATCTTACAAATTACAAAGTCACCATACATACAGTCCTTAAAGAATAATATAATTAATGATATTCCATATTAATTGCATTGATCATATTAAGTAGCCCTACCAACTCATAACAATTTAAGTACAGATTTAGATCCATAGTATTTACCTGGTTATCATCGGGCGGGAAATCACTGTATAGGGAAGTGTAACCTATACAACTAATATCACACCCTCATTCTATATCCCTTCAATGTGGCACTTTTCAAATATATTTACAAAAAAAATACTGTGAGGTGAAATCAAGAGTTAAACTTGGCCAAATTATGATAATATAAATAATGTTAAATGAAAAAAAGTAAAGAAATACAATTATGAGAGTGAGAGAAAGAGAAAGAGAGACTTATTTATAGAACAGACCAGCTGTTCAAAATAGAGGAGTGACCCAATCTCCATTTATTGTTAAAGGCCCAGTGTTTTTCCTGTGTTTTATATCATATTGTACAACAGCTGATGAAACTAACGCTGTAAAAAATGTGATCAGTGTTATTTCCTGATAGTTGCTGGTTGAAAATGTAACCTACACAGGAGCTTCTAATCAGCAGGTTTGCATGGGCGGGAGTTCCCACTGGGCAAAAACTTGTTGAATCAAAGTTGTATATTTTTTAAATATGTGATGACGTTGAATCAACGTGAAAAACGTATTGGATTATTAAAGTCATCAACGTAAAGGAATTTCCTCTTTTTTTCACCCAACTTTTAACCTAAATCCAATGACATGGTGACACTTTTTGTTGATTTCACGTTGAATTCACATTAGTTGACAACTCAACAAAATGTAAATCAAAACTAGACGTCTGTGCCCAGGGGGTTTCAGCTTTCCGAAAGAGTAACAAACCTCTCTGCCAATAACAGCTCGTTTACACTCGCCACTCAGACCACTCCCAGACAGTCCTAGCTAAATTCTTGCTTGAGAAATAGTTTTTTGCTAAGAAGCTATTTTTGCCCATTTTAATGGAAATCTATCATAGTAAGATACTTAATTGTTAACCAGAAATTATTTGATATTGATATAAAAACAGCTGCATTGGTCCTTTTAATGTAATCACATAGATTGTGGGGTAACTTTGATGTACACCAAAGGCCAATAAAACAACAGTCTAGTGTCCTCGCACCCCCCTTCCTCACCCCACAAAAAAAGCATTTTGTGAACTAACACCCCCCTCTTACTAGCTCTGACTTTGTGATAGCTACTTTATTGAGGAAACATTTACATACTGTGATATGTGGTTGTCCCACCTAGCTATCTTAAAATGTATCTATAAGTCGCTCTGGATAAGAGCATCTGCTAAATGACTAAAATGTAAATGTAAAATGTCTGAGTCAAGGCCATCCACTGTAAAAATCTGTGCCAGGCAATCCAATTGGCTACCTCCTAGGGGGGAAATCTTTGTGACGTCCAACTCTGGTCATACTGGGTTGTATTCATCAGTGCACACCCTAGCAAAGCGTTTACCAACACAAAATGAAAATGGATGTTTCTTATTGGACAAGTTCAGGTAGTCCCTCCCTGTTTCAGTCGGTTTTCTTCCATTTGGTGACTAGTTAATACGACTCTGGCTGAAAAGAGACGATTTCTATACATATTTTTTGTGAACTGCTAATTAGTGGGTACATACTCCCTAGACTTGGAATATTATAAATAGACCTTTCCCCATATTAAGTAGAACATTTTACATTAGTTGACACATCATTTTGACCAGTAGGACCAACTAGGCCTAGATCTATTAGTTTAACACTAAACATGTCTAGTAAACTGATACCTTCAAATGAATCCCTCAACAGATTGGTCTTTCAACAGCAAAATAATGAACAACAAATGTTTCACTTGCATGTCTTCAGTCAACGCATACCATTTAACAAAACACTACTCACAGAGCACAACAAGACCACCTTATACCAATCCATTACACTGTTTTCTGTTTGAATGCAGTGACAGATCTGACACTTGAAGCCTCCAGGCAGCTATGATTTATCTTTGTGAAAAGGCTGTTTGTTGCATCAAGTGAGATGGCAAAGGTTTTAGTGGTAGGACCCTAGACGTAATGACTAAGGGTTAGTCCGAAATGGCACCCTATTCCCACTATATAGGGAATAGAGTGCCATTACAGATGCACATTAGTGTGTGGGGGGTCAGTCTTCAAGCTTCCCGCAATGCTGAAGCTCTATAACAACTTGAGAGGGGATTTCTGCCTGTTCTGGCAACCCCACTCTGAGTTGGGAGCGTTGCTGGACACCTCACAGTCTGCCTCCTCCTCCCTCAAGAACCTTTCTAACCTGTCCATGTAGGATGGCCGCCGGGGTAGGAGGAAATAGTGCGTGGCACTGGCTTTCCTCCCATCCTCCATGATGGGCACGATACAGGGGGAGCGTGGGCCCACCAAGGGCCCAGTGGCGCCCTCCCTAGGCTGCTGTTGTGGCCTCTGGGGGCCCTTGCTGACATATTTGGGGTTGGGGGCGAAACTCTGCGTAGGGGGCATGACCCCGTTCACGTATATAGGGAGGCTCTTGGGACTAGAGGTGCAACAGGAGCCACAAGGGGGTGCTATCGGTTCCCTGGGAGGGACTTTGGGAGGCTTTTCCTTGTCTTGGTCCTCGGCGATGGACCAACGGTGGCAGTCGGCAGTCTTGGAGGGGCGCGGGGGGATGGGGATGCGGGGAGGAACTTCAGGCTTGTCCAGCTGGGGGTGGCCCCTGGTGCCGTGGTGGTGGTGAAGGTGGCACGACTGGCGCAGGCCGGAGGGCTTGAAGGAGCTTGCGGGGCCCGAGTGGGAGCGCCGCAGCTTGGACCGTTGGGGCCGATCGGGTTGCTTGCTAGAGATGTCCCTCGCCACTACCACCACGGACCCTGGCCCTCTCTGTCCCCCAAACTGGGCCTGCTGCACCTGGGTTCCACTGTGGGCTCCACCGTTAGCCGAGCCGCTAGCCCCGGGGGGCCCCTCAAGGTAGGCATAGTTGACCTGGCCACAGCCCCTGAAGCTGCGTCGTCCGGTGGCTCCATAGTGGAGGGCCAGGGCCTTGGTGGAGCAGCGCTGGGGGAGTAGGCGCCTCCTCTCGTCGATGAAGAATTCCACCTCGCTGTCTACCACCTCGTCCGAGGAGTTATCCTCCGGGTCAGGGAGAGGGGGCAGGGGCTTGGGGCCGCAGGACGGACCCTGCTCGTAAACTGATAGTCTCTGGAAGGAGGGGACCACCTGGTCCCCCTCAGGAGGGCGGGGCATGGTGCAGTGAGAGGTCAAGGGTTGGCTGCTAGAGCACAGTGGATGGTGGGTCAGGGGCATCTTGTCTGTAAAGACGGCAAATAGAGAGAACATTCAAAACATAACATGAATGAAAGGGTCATATTTGATATACAGCATGAATGTGATCATTTTTTTAATACTCACAATTTTCAGTCAAATAAAAAGAGAATGGTTAACATAAGCAAAGGAGAAACATTCATTTATTGAAAATGGAAAACAGAAACATTTTAGCCTTCAGGATTGTATTATCTTCATTCTTATCTCCTCCCACAAAACAACAGATTTGAACCAAATGTATTCAACAATAATAGTGTACAATACACAACCACACTATATATAAATGATATAAAGAGCATCAATTTCCATCACAAGGAAGGAGTGTCCTCCACAGACAAACCACTTTCTGAGAGGAAGCAAAGAGCCAACCCTGTCCCCACCACCTCTGCTCTGCTCTCTGTAAAACATCAGCCACAACAACACCCAGATTAGTTGACGAATAATTTATCAGCGACGCAAGTGGCAATCTTTAAGAAGCTTCCCATAACCTTCTGGAGCTTCCTGAACAACATCCTCCAATGAAAACATCCGATTCTGATTCCGCCACAGAGCTCAGGGACAGCCAGTGACCAGACAGCGAGAGATAGCCTCCTTCCTTTCTCTCTCCCCCAGCCCTCCCTCTCTCCCATCCATGAGCCCAGTGTAGACTACAGCAGACCTAGGTCCAAGTAGTATTTATTTTCTTTCAAATACTTTAGGTGCACTTGATTTAGCTTTTAGCTGACCTGGCATAATGGAACCAAACCCCTCCTACATTTCCACTTTTGGGACTATTCCATTGTTGCCATTATGCTTGGCAAAGCTCAAGAAAACAAAATATTATTTCAATCTAGGTCTGATAAGACTCAATTCAACTCTAGGCTCAATCAAGTCTACATTCCAGTATTAACGCTGTAGCAAATAAAATAAACAATTCCATTGGTCGAAGAACACTACAGAACAGCTTTGGATCAGAAACAATCCTAGGTAGGCACTGCCAAAAGGGGAAGGTTCACGTTTTCAAAATAAGACACATGGCATGTCCACAGTAGGAAGTAGACACTGGAGAAACATGCCTTTACACAAGCAGCCCAATTCTGATCTTTTGCCCAATTATTGGCAAAATAGCTTATCTGATTGGTCAAAAGACTAATTAGTGGAAAAATATCAGAATTGGGATGCCTGTGTAAACGTAGCCTAAGACTGGTTGAATTGAATTGTTTTAGCTGGTGCAAAAATATTGCAAATGTCTGCCGCAAAAGTATCTCACTCACTGTCAAAGCACTGGGACACTGAATGGTGTTGGTGCTGCTCTCTCAAGTTGTGTTCCATCGTGTCGTCAGCATCCAGGCTAAAGCACAGGCTGAAACACAATGACACACAGAAGAATGCTTGAATTCAACACTTGGCCATGTAGATAGTAGATACAGTATGTAGACTGGTCCTACACTTGTCATTGTGGCTGTAATGTCATGCATTATGTATGCATTAAGCTTGAGTCCGAATTCTAACTTCAGACAACCGCGTGTAATTCAAATGAACTCAAAGAGAAGTCAATGAAGGATTTTTGTGAGAGTTCAAGTTGTGCGCTATTTAGGATTCTTCCTTCAGTCACATGATTGCACTAAACCCATTCTCACTTTTTGCTAATTCAACCAAATAGCCACATTGTTTTATTACTTTGATAAAGTGGGTTGAAATAACCATACTATGTATGTCAATATTTGACCAGCACCAACATAACTATATCGATTACACAATTTGAAATAATTATATGTTTGAGTTTTATTTCTTATTTTTTTATTAAAACAATTTTTTTTAGCAGATGCTCTTATCCAGAGCGACTTACTGTTATTATTATTATTATTAAAAAATATATATTCATACTGGACCCCCGTGGGAATCGAACCCACAAACCTGCCGTTGCAAACGCCATGCTCTACCAACTGAGCTACATCCCTGCCAGCCATTCCCTCCCCTACCCTGGACGACGCTGGGCCAATTGTGCGCCGCCCCATGGGTCTCCCGGTCGCGGCCGGCTACGACAGAGCCTGGTTGAGTTACAACTGATTATCAAGTACTTCTATACTACATGTTCACTAATAATTAACTCTTTATCAACTACTAATAATCCCTTAAAGTGTACCTTAATGTAAAGTGTTACCCACTCACCTGTTCGTGCCATGTGGCTGTCCCCAGTAAGCCTTGTTTCGGGCCATGCTGTGACAGAGACTGGGGGAAGGCAGGCTGCTCCTAATGGACATGTATATGTAGATCCATAGAGCACCCAGTCCTCACAGAGACACTGTCCATCTGCTTACTGCAGTCCAGCCAACCAGTAGTAGTCATCCTGTCTCATTGTTAGGTGCTGGCATACCAGAAAAAGAGAGCGAGAGAGAGAGAGAACGAACGAGAGACAGAAAGGGCACGAGAGAGGGAGAGAAACAGAGAGAGAGAGGAAAAGAGAGCGGGAGAGAGAAAGAGAGTGAGAAGAAATTAGCAAACATTCAAGTGTTCATCAACCATGTTGCTAACCATTTTGCAACCATTTTATTTTACAGGCCTGTTTGAGCTTCTGTTTGCCTGGTATTTTTGCCTTGTACACAACAGGTAAATTACCTGGTACTAAATACATAGTGGGCCTTGTTATAATAAATCCAGTCAACAACAAAGTAATTATTAAACCATGTACTTTCCATTTGACAACGTAATTTCTCTGAAAACACCAAGTAAATGACCCGTAAAATTAAATCATAACCTCTTACCCCTTTAACCATAACCTGACCACTCCACTCCTTGTACCAGCGGTTGCTTTGCCTTGCTTGCTTTGCTTTACTGAGCTAAGCCTGTCATGTGTGTCTCCCCTTTGTAGATCCAGCTCAAAGAGTATGACTGAGTTTGACTGAGGCATGGGGTTGCATTGCACAACCTCTGGGTCAACAGTGGGCAGGCCTAAGCACTCTCTCCACTCCCTCTTCCCCTCCCAGGCCTGTGAGGCTGTGCTCTGCTCTCTGTACTAATTCTTCTTGCAGTGCTGCAGCGTAGGCCCACACCAAGGGGCCTCAACAGAGCCCTTTCAACAGAGGCCATTGTGGAACAAGCTCCTGTGACGCTGGAATGACAAACACTCCCAGTGTGACAGTGCGCCAACACTCACACACACGCTTTACTGTGTGTGTGTGTGTGTGTGTGTGTGTGTGTGTGTGTGTGTGTGTGTGTGTGTGTGTGTGTGTGTGTGTGTGTGTGTGTGTGTGTGTGTGTGTGTGTGTGTGTGTGTGTGTGTGTGTGTGTGTGTGTGTGTGTGTGTGTGTGTGTGTGTGCGCGCGTGTATGTGTGCAGCTGAATGTGCGCAAAGTTACACACACATTTACATACATGCGTACACACGCACCTACACTCATAGTACCCAGGAAAAAAGGCTCAATTCCAAGTTTCAAAGGACTCCACACTGACAACTGACAACAACAGTATCGATAATGACAAGTCCACTGGGGATGAAGACAGGACAAAGTGTCCCCACAAGCTACACAACAACCTGGGCCCTTTCCTGGCGCCACCAACAGGTCATGGTCTTGCGAAAAGCTGCTCTTTATGTAAACAAGTATTAGGGTGACAAAAGGGGATTTGAACTATAATTGTAATGGTGAAAAGTTTCACATTGCTACGATATATCGATCACAAAAACAGACATTTTAAACAAAATATTTTGTTTGAAAACTGTTAGAAACAATAGACTGTTTAATGCCTCGTTAGTTTGTCTTGTTGAAATTGTATTTGTCTATTTGTTTGTAATGTTTGAGTTATTGTCATGCTCTGTACATTGTCCACTGTGCTTTTTGGCTATCATGTTCCGGATTTGTTATAGTGTCCTGTGTGCTAATCATGTCCTATTGTCCTCTTTGTAATTTGTCTGTAATTTTTAAGTCTGGTTAGTTCTAATACCATTCCTGACTTTAAAAAGACAAGTCCACAACAAGGCCTTGATAAGAATGCGATAATACCAAGGTATCATTCATAAAAGAAAAACAAGCATTGAACAGAATCTCTTTGCTCCATTTCACATTCCGCCTCCATTGGTTAACGTGTGGTGTGGGAAGCGTATGTATATACCATCCATGGAACATTTTCTAGACAAGACATCATATTTATGTACCTTCTACAAGTACAAGAAACAACCTTCTGCATAATTTACGTCGAGAGAGAGCTCAGAGATGCAAGAAACCAAACAATAAGGAATTCTACCAGCAAATAACTCAGTGGTCATGAATGGGGCCACTCTGGACCATGAATGGCCCTTTGTGTTTTGGCTGTGCGGAGAGAGGCCTGCGAATCCCAGTGAACTCTCCCATGAGGTCAGGCCAGAGACATGCCATGGAGACATCCAGGGATGGCTGAGGTGTGTGAGAGAGAGATTCCTGCTCCTGGTGAGATTATGACCCGCCATTGGCATCTAGAGATCCCTTTGAGGAAGGGAAAACTAGCCTAAATCACGGTTAGCACTAATCCCAGTTAGAAGAGATATGGGTTTATCGTTTATCAGGGGCTGTAGCGTAAGGGGGTGCATTGGGGTTGTAGACATTACACCATTGACAGGCCTTTCACTCTTACCCCTTGAAACAGGTGTAAAAGATGCTATCCATCACATATCACACTTATCTGGTGTTCAGCCATTTGTGGACTATTGCCCAAATTAAGGGTGGCAGCAAAGAGAAAAGTGAAGAACGGTGGTAACTTCTGCAATATTACACCAATATAAACTATATTTTAAGATGGAGTAACTCACTTCTGATAGTCCTTAGTTTTAGGCTTGAATACAAATAACACCACCTATCTCAATTTGATCAGACTAGTCCTACTATTTTCTCTTTTTATAGAGCACATATTGCAATTAGGCCTACAATATTGTGATTTGTTTATAAAGTGACAAAAGATATTGGGCAAAGCAAAGAAAAATCAAGGTATGAAAGACAAAAAATATATATTTAAACATGACCAGAATATGGCACTATAATATTATATGTTGCCTGGCCTAGCTTATTATAATAGGCATATTATTATCATAGCCGATTACAGGTCAACTGCAACATTCTTATTATGCATTTCTGTCAAACGTATATTGTGATTAAATCAAATCTATTTTGTCACCGTCAAATGTTTCCAACCCTGGCAACTATACCCGCTCTACCTGTGCAACAGGCAAAGAAGCGCGAGCACTCCGTGCGAACAGAATAACACACCCTGTCCAGCAGACTCTCCCAGCTGACCCGTGACTCAGGTGCGAATCATTTCCCAAATAGAGGCCCTCTACATTATTCCATTACCGTGTTCAAGTCAAGTCTATTTGTCATATGCACAGGATTCACATGGTAGGCTACACAGTAGGCTACAATGAAATGCTTAATCGCTTATTTCCGACAATAGTATTAAGATACAACTTCAAAACACAAAAAATAAAAAGCCTGTTGGTGTAATAACATTTAGCTGTTGGTCTAATAATCTTCTCATTCATAAATAGGCTAGTGTCTGTTATTGACACAATACTTTCATTTCAGTCGCATCAGGCTTTAGCATAGTAGCCTACTAGGTTATAACAGCCTATTTGATTGTAATATTTTGTTACTATACAGTAATTGTAAATTAACTTAGTAGGCTACTTACCATCAAAGTAGGCTACTGTGTGGTAGAGGTTTTCCAATATAGTAGCTCCATCGATTTGTAACAGGTCTATCCAGTTATTGGCCGACTGCTGACGACAACAAAACGTGCATGTGCTATATCTTTTTTTCTACAACATTCGCTCGTGAAATTCATTTGCTCACAGCAACCCGGTTTTCTCTATCTTTTTATAAGCATGGGTCAACGCTTGAACATTTGCTCCACCCGCGCCTTGCTCTTAAAGTGACCAGTTCTTATTTCCAGGCACTTGTAGCTACCCTCTCTCTTTCATGTTTCTCCAATACGGCACTGTTAGATGCACTTAAAATAAATAGTGATTTGATTTGATGTATCTCCAATACAGCACTGTTCCGAGGTGTAAAGACAGGCTACCAACTACCTGTCCGACTTCTGACACCAATTCGACACCTCTGGCACCATCATAGCAAAGGAGGACGGGGATTCTTGAACCAAACATTTAAACCCAACAGGAGAGGTCCGATTATTTTCTGAGGACACTACAGTAAATACTGGTCTACTGGACATGACATGATAATAACACTGACGTGTTAAACAGTTCCAGCGTAATTAGGCTACAGTTGAATAAGTAGTTTTCGATTATACCAATTTATATTAACATTTATTTCTGTCAGTGGGGGAGAAGGTGTTGATGACTGTAGACACTATCACCATTTACCAACTTTGTTTACCACCGCATGAGGTCTAGATTTAGATTTGATTGGGATCCCCATTAGCCAACGCCAATGGCGGCAATCGGGATGTAGGGGTGCTGAGGGTGCTGCTTAATTTTAAATAAATTGGCTAAATTGTCTAAAAACATGTTTTCACTTTGTCATCATGGGGTATTGTGTGTAGATGGGTGAGAAAAAAAACATCAATTTAATCAATTTTGAATTCAGGCTGTAATACAATAAAATGTGGAATATGTCAAGGGGTATGAATACTTTCTGAAGGCACTGTACCTATACATATGCCTTAACTAGGTTAACTAGGTCAGATGGGGGAGGTGTTTTGTTGTGAGGTGTTGTTTTATTAGTTTTTTTAAGCTAATTTTGCTGTTTGCTTGGGTAACTTGAGATGGAAGGGAGTTCCATGTGATCATAGCGCTATATCAGGGTTCCCTAATTGGCGCCCGTAGGCCGAATTTGGCCCATGGGTGATTTTATTTGGCCCCCCAAATTTTCTGGACATAAATGACCATAAGAACACCAGCAAATCAGCTCTAAGTGATTTTAATTTTGGAAATATGTTCCAAAGTATTCCCACGCATATGTGATCATTTGAAATGATTGTTTTAGTCAAATATTATATCTGTTTGGGCTTCTTGCGGACTACAAATTATTTGTATTCAAGTTCCGGCCCCCTGACCCTCCGCTCTAGAAAAAATTGTCCTGCGGCTGAATCTAGCTGATGATCCTTACTCTATGCCTTGAATTCATTCTGGATTAGGGTACTGTGAAGAGACCCCTTGATTAAAGTACTTCCATCAGAAATCATCATCATCACAAATACAGTATGGACATTGATGAAGTGAAGTTCTATTGCACGTCAGATAACAATGTGGGAGTGAGTGGGGACCCAAGAGTGTGTGTGGGTGGAAGTCCACTGGCGAGTGTGTGGGTGGCTTTGGGCGAGTGTTTGTGAGTAAGTGTTTACATGACAAGTACAGTACAATGTGTGTGATCCATAAAGACACAGTGGAAGGGCCATGTGAGCAGGTTGGAAACCTCTGTCTGAACTAACTTGTCATTATCTGTGTTTTCATCACCACGTCCTAAACATACTGCTTACATAGCAGCAGCACAGCAAAAGGCTACGGCAACAATATGAGGCCATTTAAGTGAAGCCAATGAAATAGTGTTGTTGTGACCAATATAATATCCATGAACTTTGTTCTACCAAACCAAACACACACACCACCCATCTAACCCTTCACCCTTCCTTTTGGCCAGGAGTTTGATGTGTTGACGTCATAGAGACAGGAACTGCCATATAAGGCCATGTCTGACAGCACCTGCAGCCAGACTGCAGAGGAACGCAGTGACTCTATACAGTTCCACTGGAAGTGCCCCAGCAGCACAACAGCTTAACAGCAGAATCATCTGGAGGTTTGACAGTTTTAAGTGTGAAATAGACATGTCGTCATGTCTATCTGTGTCAGTTCTTCACACTAATGTCTCACAGTATTTATTTAGGGAGTAACTGAACAGCTTACATCTGCAGTCTCATAACAACATCTTTGCGACCTCCACGTCAATTGGGTTTCTTTCTGCCAAGCTTTCTGCTGGGATTATTCAAGCAGTGGAAGAACATGATTATTATCCTAATAAAACAACCAGTACTCTGGTTATTACCCAGCGGATGACGTTTGGAAGTTTTGTTCATGTATTTTTAGCAACCAGAAAAAAATATTTTTGGGGGTTGTAAACTGGTTTTGTGGTTGAGAAGACGTCGTATAACAGATTACAACCAACTGATCTCTGTTACAACCACGTATCTTGTCTTTTTCATTACAAGATACAGATGTCATTGGAAAGACGTTATATTTTGGTTGTTATCCCGTCAAATAACCATATAACAACCAGATAAAGATAGATGTCACCGGAAGTTAATAACATAACTTTCTTATACAACCATTACACAACCTGACCATAAAAATATGTCATAATGACATATTGCAACCGTTTTTGCCCACTGGATAGAGCACTCACATTATTCCCTGCCTAAACACAACATAACTATTCTCTAAGGCTTGACTGGATTCAATCAATCAAACCGGCGCTGATGTCAAACTGCACTCTGGAAAAATGCCTGTTTTCATGTCATGTACCATTAAAATGTAAGATTATATCAAGTTAACTATTGGCAAATATCAATTGTTGGAAGTAATATGAAGTCACTTTGATTTTAATCAACAATTTCTTGCAGAACATTTTTCCATGCAGTTTTGATTGAAGTCTTTAATCATCTCATGGATCTTGAGGTCCACTTAGTGAGAGGACATAATCAGACATGCATGATATATGGCTTGGTCCTCTCCCCCTGTTCCCCCCTACTGCAGTTTCTAACAATGGGCCATTCCACTGCGAGCTCTGTGGGTTGTAGCTACAGTATGGGGTGGGCCCAACTGAACTCCCAGAGGGGGAGGGCGAGTCACTTCCTGCTTTGAGACCTCTGTCCCTCACATCTGTTTGTGCCATGCAGATCCCCCATTTGCAACTTCCTCGGCTCCATCTCCATCAAAGTCTTATGATGGATAGATTGCCGTGAAGAAATCTTCAAGCTCTTTGACTTCAAACAGTTGGTCAGAACTGTTTGAAGTCAAAGAGATGTTTTTGTTGTTTTGTGGCAATAAAGTTCAACATGAAATCAAGTATCTGTACATTGTATGAATGTTGAATGTTCATTATCTTACTGGCTGGCAGTTATCCATGCTGACACATGTGTAGGAGGTGAAATATCCCAGCTGTCTTGATTAAAGGTGTTCAACTGTACACATCCACTCTGGTAAATACATTGTGTAGGCTTGGCCTCATTACATCATGTCAAGAGGAGTTTCCTTATAGAGAAACCACCTATGAACAAACATGACATAACAATTACATAAACTTTAAATTGAATTATAAGTGATGTTTAAATAATGTCATTGAATCTGATTGTAAAAGTAAAGTTCTAATGCAGTAATTACGTTTATTTCCAAAACGCTATATCCACCAATTTTTCACATTTTTGTTTCTTCACCAGAAATGATTGCTAATGGGTATCTTCATGTGTGTGTGAAATATTACTGTTCTCAGATTTTCAATTCATAGATTTTAGGTGTGTATTAAAATCAGTTTTTTTAGCAAAATGCTATATATCCATTGTTGAGCTGGAATGGAATGTTCGTATCCTGTATATTTGACTGTGGTATGTGATTGTCTCACCTAGCTATCTTATGATGAATGCGCTAACTGTAAGTCGCTCTGGATAAGAGCATCTGCTAAATTACTAAAATGTCAAATGTAAAAGTTTTACATATAGATCTCATATTACTGTATTGATTCATAATATATATATATATATATATATATATATATATATAGATAGATGTCACAAATGTATCATTTGTACAGTTCTTTATAAAAAATGTAGTTATTTGTTTCATTCGACTGTGTAAAACCTAGCAGTACTACTTATTTCTCTGAGAGTGAGGTGGATATACAGTATAGCATTTTGCAAAAAAAATGGGATTATTTGTTTCTCTGAAATGAAACCATCAACTGATATATTTAAAAGAAATACATGTCTGTCATTCAACAACCCCATGCTATGATTAGATAGTGAAAAAACACACCAATCGCTTTCATAAGTTATTTAAACAATAACAACTAATTTAGTAACATTTATGAAGAAAAAAAAAAAATATATATATATATATATATAGCGTTTTGGAAAGAAACTCTTCAATTATTTAATATGTTTAAAAATGATAATAAAACTGAAAACCTAAAAGTTACATTCATTCACCAGTATAAAGTAGGTCACTCCTGCATTCAGGTTGTGGGAAACATGACAATTAACCTTTATAGGATTAAGATAGGATGAAACAGATAGGAGTTTATGGTCATAACTATATGCTCCTAAGCAAACAATGTCCACACAGTCTTGCATTCCAACTCCACTACACTCATACCTCTCCTTTGCGATATCAAAATGGTATTGTGTACAGTAGGTGTACAGTATAGTATACAATGGGCATTTCACTATTTTATGACCACTTGAAGTCATCTGCCTCATTCTCAATGGGCGATGTCACAATCAGAATCCAGGAAATGTCCCATGAAGGTTGTGACTAAACTGTGTGATGAGGGCCATGACTAATGTCCATATCACATTCTTACTTACTCACTTATCAATTTATTCCACTGTTTGTATTATCACTTTCCTGGTATGTGTTTATAATGTACTGCTTTTTCTCTCATAAAGCCTCCTCAAGAACACAAGATGAGTCATATAGACAAAATCGAGGTCTATATATGTCAGTTTCCCTTTATGGTCCAGTTTTCCTTACACATAGATTAAATGTAGCCCTGGATTAAATATCATTTTTGATGGAAAAACTAGATAGATATTTTTTTTGAGGGGTCCAGCCCAGGACTAGGCTTAAGGTC